CAAACTGGTTAATATTTTCTACTTTTGCTCTAGTTTAGGTAACTCTTGTCCAAACAGGAGCACAAAATCTTCCAACAAAGCAATTAGCCTACCTGTAGGGCTGGTGCTGCTCATGTTTTTTCAACTGTTTTTCAAGAAACTCTGATTTTACTTAAACCATGTGTTGTTTTTTTCCCCTCATTTTCCATCTGGCGGTACCTCTTAAGAAGGACGAAACTGTAGGCAGACAAATAATATCAGGCTTCAAGTTAATAGATAAATGCATTCTTCGTTCAGAAGCAGCTCAGCCATGAAACTTTGGAGGATTCATTATGTCGTTTTTGTTTATGTGTTACCTCTTATTTAGATCCCTCTTCTTCAAACTTCAGTGTCAGGGGTGACTTATGAGTGCAATTTTCTGCCTAACATTCTGCAGCGGTAGTTGGCAAATCCTTTCTCTTGGCATGGGGAAGTGTTTCTTATTGTTGCACACTGAAGAGGCACACAACTCTTAAATCACTTTAAAAAGACAATGTTTAATACATTTTTTGAAAGGAAAATGCAAATTGTATCTCATAATGGATAACAGAATTATCTTACCAGTAGATTTATTGCTTGTGCACAAACTATATTGGCTACATAACATTGGCATTCTAAGCAATGGAGCCAACAAAGCCCTTCAGCCAGCCAGAATGTCTGTTTAACCAATCTCTTGCTTTTAGCTTGAACCGAGTTCCCAGATGGTGCTAAGTGAAGCACAGCCCGGCTGTGTAGCTGTACTGGGGGTGGGTTGTGCTGAAATTTAGGCAGGAGCTTAATGAAGGACGGTTGAGATTTGTTGATTTTCTGTTAAAGTATTTTTGCCTCTTCTAGGGTTGAAGAAGTTTTACCTATTTATAGAGTTCATCTTTGAGTTGCAAAACTTTGTATAATCGCATGTGAGATGTTAATGACATCAGACTTGTACCTTTGATGAGGGTTCTTCATTCCCCCAGGTTCCCAAAAACTCAGAAGGAACTCAAGCCCCTTTACATTACCAAACACAAGAGGCTGATTCCTCAGCTTCTCTGAATGGTTTGTAAATCTGTATTTACTGCCTTCATAGCTGTTGGCCAGCAAATCAGTTCACATCAGCTCAGCAAGATGCGCTAGAAAACTTCCCACTAATCAGTGCAGTGCCTGAGAAGGAAGTGGTTGGAAATTGTGAAATCTAGGCGACATTGCAAACCATTTTCTTGCTGCAGAAAAGCTCTGCAAACAATTTCTACCACAGATGGTCAAAAGTTTATTTTCTTATTCTGAGGGGATATCCAATGCATATGAGATTGATTCATTATTTATTTATCACCTATGGCTCTTCATTCCTTTTTGTAATTGTAATTCCTTTTCAGTACTCTCCCTAAAAACAGCTTCTCTACATACACACAAGTCTTCTCTTATTTATGTTGCTAAAAATCAGAAGAAATTCAAATTAAGTATACAGTGTCTCATCTGTGAAAGTCACAGAAAAATCATGGGCAGGAGCTGTGAGCAAGTCCTGGCCTCAGTTTGGAGTAAGAGTGATGTGGGGTGGCTGTGATCTCACAATGTATTTCTGGAGGGAATGTAATAAACAAGTATTTAATAATCATCACAAATAATTCACAAATAAAAGCAGTAAAATCAAAGGTGCACAGAGCTGATGGGCTCTTTGAGGTCTCACTTCAAATTCTTATGGTCCTAGGATGGAACGGAGATGGAAGTGCCTGGCATGTGTCAACCTAAAGATTTTGTCTATCATTTTCTGCTATTTACAAGATTACATGACAAGCTGGACTTGAGATTCTTCGGGTAAGTTAAGGCAGAACTGCCTTCTCGGTGGAAATGTCACTGTCCTCACATGGCAGTGTGTGGCTGGCAGCTGTCCCACTGTTGGGCGTGCTCCCTATGGGGATGAGGGCTTTTCCTCCTGTGCCTTCTGCCTGCTTTTCACCATGCCCTTCCTGGGTTTTTTGTCACCACCCCCAAATTGCTCTGTGCTTTGGCTTCCTCAGGCTATGGGCCTCTGTTTTCCCCTTCCTCATCTCTGCTGCCCCTGCTCCTCCACGCAGACTCCTCCAAGCTCTTCCCACCCATGACCCCATGCACTGTGGCTCTGCCTTTCCTGCCACCATTGCTGTAGATTAGTGACTGCCAAAATCACTCTGTGCCCCTGCCCTGCTTTCCCCTATCTCCACATGTGTCCCATGGAACATTTCACACGTGGCCTGCAGCCCCTGAGCCATGGCCATCCCTTGCTGCTCCCTCCAGGCTTTCCTGGCTGCCTGTGGCCCACACTGGTGTGGCCTGAATACCCTGGCACTGGTGTGAGGCCATGGGGCACAGAGCCAGGAGGTAGCTGCCTGACCCTTGCCAGTCTTTTGCCCTTCCCCCTCTGCTCAGCCGTTGCCAAAATCCAGGGATTTGGCCTTTTAACACCTTTTGCAGTAAGGTGCACGTGTCGGCTTGCCTTGGTTTGATGGCTTATTGGTGTGCTGGTGTTGTTAGGGCCTGTACAGTCCCACAAAGAGGTGACAGCAAATACCTTATTTTCTACAGATGAGGCAAAAAGGGTTTAAAAAAAAAAAAAAAAAAAAAGGTACCACAAAACGTAGTCAAATAGATTCCTACATAGGCATTGCACCCAAGCACTCACTTTTATTGATTTGTAAACCCAGACAGCTGTAAGTTACCCTTCGAGCTGTTCTTGGGTGAAGGGGGGAGGGGGAATGATGGGTGCTGCAGGAAGGATGGTGCCAGCTGAGGAGGTGAACAGAGATGTGGCACCAGCATGGCCATGAAGACACCTGGTTCCCATGGAAACCCCAGCAAGTGCTTCAGCAACAAATGGTGACTTGGACCTCGTTACATGCCTGGTGAGACAGGTTGGAAGACGTGCTATATCCGAACCTGAACGATCTCCCTTCCTTCCCTGGAGTACTCACTGCTGCCTCCATTTCACAAATCATTAACACCGTGTGCTTCAGGTTTATAGCATCTCCCTGTGCCGCTTTAAAATACTGGCACAGAGGCTGAAGAGCCACACGCACTGTGAGCAGAAGCAGCCCCAGCTGCACTGCCGCTGGTGGAGCTGCACTCCCGCTCCCACAGTCGTCCCAAAGCTCCTAAATAATCAGAATAAAGATGACTGCTGAAATTGGCGGTGCTGCACTGTTGGGATTATACACAGAGCAAGTATGTAAATAAATTTCTCTTTCAATTTACCAAAGCAAAATACTGAAAGACAACCAAGGACCTTGGAGATATGTGATCTGCATTTTGCCAGCACTGGAGTGAAACATCCTCACTGTTGAATTGCTGCTGAATAGTGGCCATGCTTGAACTCCTAGGTAGGTAATACAGAGCCAGATCCATAGGTGCTGCTGCATCTATTAAAGGGCATATATCTGACATTTAGATGTCGCTGTAATTTAAGATGCTTCTCAAGAGCCACCAAAGCCTGTAGGTGGCCAAATCTCCTCGAAGCCCAGTTTCCTGCTGTCAGCAGTCTGCTTGTGCCTCATGGATGTGGTGCTGGGGCCCAGCCTGGCCTTGTCCACCCGGAGCAGCACATGCCTGCTGGTTGTCCCATGGCCAGCCTGCAAATACACACAATACCACCAGAGCTGGGAATTTCCAGTCTGGTTTTTGCTTTGATGTCTTTTAGCAGTGAAGTATCAGCATGGGCTGTCCAGAGAGGAGATGAAGTCACTGTCATTGGAGGTGTTCAAGAACTCTGGAGATATGGCACTGAAGGACGTGGTTATAGGCATGTTGGGGATGGGCTAACAGTTGGACTAAATGATCTTAGTGGTCTTTTCTAACCTTAAGGATTCTGTGATTCTACACTGTAGACACAAAGCAGAGACAATTCCTTCTTATCTAGCTTTGCTTTCTGCAAAAAATGGAGTTCAACTTAAAAATACATTTATTTTTACTTGAAGTAGGATAAACCTATAAAAAAAAATCAGTTTCAATTGCATGGGTTGTGTGGGCATAAAACATTTTTCCAGAAAAATATCAGTGGGTTCATATTGATATAGGTTGGTTTATATCCTTAATCTGTGCAACAATGCTGTGTTTGCTGGGAGCAAGTTAACAACGTATCAGAGTGTATTTTGATTTTGGAAGGATGTCATTAATTGCATTATTTTTGTTTTCAACTGTGTTGCTACACAGCCCTTATATTGGGGCATGGGATAGCCCAAAGCAACAGTTTCAGTAGCGAGGAGCCATTGAGAGAGAGAAAATGTCCCAGAGTTACTGGAAAGGTTTCAAATTCATTTTGTGAAAGAAAGTGAAATTGGTCTCATTGCATCGAATACCCCTTTGAAACGGGAGACCTTCCCTGGCCAAGGCGTTTCTGCCTGGCGGCCACTGGGACCAACCCGGTAATGCACTGCAGAGAGAGTCGTCTGAACTCATTGCAAGAGGAGAAACTCGAGAATTTGGCACATTAAAAGGAAAATTAATAGAAAAACTATCGGTATCTTCTTACAAACACATTCTGGAACACGGCACATCCTGGAAATATTAATTCCTACTATTTATTTAAGCAAAAGACCGGCTGGGCACAGAGCTGCTCTAATGCAAAACAGCTCAGATACCCCATAAAAATAGTGCTCGGATTAAAATATTAGAAAGTCTGGGTAAGAATGACCTCATCTCGGTGAGGCCGTTACATGAAGTCACCCCAGTTTAATCGATCGCTTCCTGAGCTCGGCCCCAGGGGCTGCACCTCCCAGCACGGCCATTCCCGCGCGGGGCAGCGCGCAGTCTCGAGGGAAGCACCGCAGGAGACCGCAGGAGGCCCCCGGAGCTCCGCGCGCGCTCCCTGCTGCCGGCGACGCCCGCACCGCGCGCACCGCTCCACCGCCCGCGGCGCCGCTGCTGCTCGGCTCCGCGCGTGGCGCCCGCCCCTGCGGTGGCCACGCGTGGGAGGAGCGTGGGCGGAGCGGCGGGCGGAGCGCGGAGCGGAGCGGGCCGGCAGAGCCGCGCTCAGCGCCCGCTCGGCAGCGCCTCCCGCCGCCCGGGACCATGTGGCAGCCGGCCACGGAGCGGCTGCAGGTAGGCGCGGGTGGGCGAGACCGCGGGTGGGCGGCGGGGCTGGCGGGGCGTCCATCTGGTCCCTCTGCCGCCGCACCGGGACTTCGCCACAACTTCTTCCCGGCCCGCCGGGGCCGTGCCGTGCCGCGCTGCGCGGGGGCCGCCCCGCTGCCGGCCGTTCCCACAGGGGCTTCGGCCCCCGCCCGGGTCGCCGCGGGCTCGGCGGGTTTGGGCGCGGCCGTGGGCAGTGCCGGGCGGGGCGGGAGCGGAGCGAGGCCGAGGGTGCGGAGCCGCTGCCCCCAGACGTGCGGGGCCGGGCAGCGCGAACCGCCCGGCCGGGCGGCAGCTCTGCCGTCTCTTCTTGACGTCCGCTTTTGTGTGTGTCACCGTATAAATAAAATCGGGGTGAGATGTGAAACAGGCGCAAAGCGAGAAGAAATCAAACTCACTTTGTAGTTCCGCTATGTCGACTTCGTACAGTTTGCAGAGCAAGTGTCTGCTGAGAGACAAGCGGACGTTCCGAGCGAGAGCGAGGTCTGACTTAGCTGTGTGCCGACAGCAGGTCTTCACTGCGTCGGCGAATGGAACGTAGAGTTTGCTCTGATACGTGCAAGCAGGGGTTTGCTTTGAGTTGGTTCTAGAGCCAAGCTGAGGAGGTCTGTGAGCTGCAATCCCCACCAGCTGGGAACGAGAGCAATCGTTTTCCGTGAAAGGCACATTTTTCTCTGAGATGAGGAACTTGATTTTAGCAGATAGGAGCGATGGTTGATGGATTTCAGCACAAGTGTTATGTAAAGGCACTATGAGCAGTTTGTTTCCCTGAGCTGGCCGGAAGCTGCTGGGTACCCCACAGAGACAGAGAGGTGACCCAGTGTGGAGTGGGGACCCTGAGCCCGCTGTGGGGCTGCTGCACCTGCTGGGGGGGATGCTGCAGGAGAGGGACCCGAGTTGCACACAGCACTTAGGGTGAGAGAGAAGTGGAGCAGGGCGAGGGAGAAGGGGATCGCTGGGTCCATAGTGACGAGCTGCCTGGGTTGCATGGCCTGGCTTTCTGCCCCTTTGTGCACTCAGGTACTAAAACTGAGGAGATTCAATGTAACAAACAGGTGACACTGCCAACGTGAGCATTGAAGACTAACAAGAACTGGGTGCTTACGCTATGTAGAATGAAGTTATTGGTGTGATCTTATTCAGCTTCCTGATGTGTGTGCGTTGCGTTACATTATGCCACACCTGTGGGCATGACCACATGCTGTGGGGAACCGGGGCAGCTGGAGGGGGACTGTTCAGGGAATCTCTCAACAGTGGAGGTCCATAGGCAGGGGAGGCTGTGCCCTGGGAGGCCACTACTTTTCAGTGGGCACCCACCTGTGCACCTTGCTGTTGTTTGGCTGTAGCTGAAGGCTCTGGGCAGCCCAAGTCACCCTAAAAGCTGAGTGCATGTACGTGCAGTTCTTGTCATTGGGAGCTGCTGGGGAAGCATGTAAAGAGCTGTAGGTGATGTTAAAAAAACAAGGCAGCACGATCCAAACCTGCTGTCTTAAGTGATGTGTTTGGCTTTTGCCAGTTCCTGGAATGGGAAGAAGGGGAAAGTCTTGGAAAGCCACAAGAAGCCAGCCCTTAGGAGTTTTGCACTCAGACAAGAGGTTAAATAGCAACGTGGTGAGCAGTGGGCAAAGTGAGTGCAGTGCGTGCCACCAAGGAGGAACGGTGCTCTGAGTCACTTGCATGCAATCTCATAATTGAAAGTTGGATCCTAAGCCATGTACATATGAGCCAGAGTTGCGTGGGCGATAGACTAATATTCCCAATTTATTTGAATGCCTTTTTCTGTTTCATTTTTAATTTGAAATGCTGTCATTTGCAGTAGCTTGATCTCTGTGTCTGTCTCCAAGAAGACCTGTGTTGTACATCACCAGACTGGCCAGAGCTGCTGGCAGCACTGCCTGTCCTTCCCATGGGGAGTTGCGCAAGACCATAAATGCGCATTTTTTCCCTTTTTTCCATGTCAACATCTCAATCCAGTTTCAGGTGTCCCATGTTCTTCTCCTTGTCCCAGGCTGCCTATCTCTTACTGCCCACATGATGTGAAACAGATCTCTGTGCCACTGGGTGCTGAGTGGGGCCCCTGCTTCCCTGTCATGATTGGGAAGGGTGCTGGGCATGGGATCTTGACTGCAGCAAGAGATTCTTTGGATATGGTGGTACAGGGTAGAGTTGGTGCCTTGCACTCCGTGTTCACATAATCTACAGTTACCATTATGCCAAGTTACAGTTAAGCAGCTGTGTTCAGGGATGACCATAGCAATTCCAGTGCTGTCTTTTGTAAGTTGTTTATCAAACTGATGTATGAGTGCAGGAATTGTGGACAGGGGCCACTTGCTTGATGTTTTCATGTGTTCTATATGATGTCATTGTGACCCAGATGCATCTTCCATCAACCTCCAGCTGTAGCAAAATGCAGGTTTGTTATTAGTCCATGCTATAGTACCTTCCAGTAATCGAAGGGGATTGGACTTTTTACACATTCTCATAGTGAAAGGACAAGGGGGAATGGCTTTAAACTTAAAGAGTGGAGATTTAGGTTAGATGTTAGGAAGAAATTTTTTACTCAGAGGGTGTGAGGCCTTGGCAGTGCTGCCCAGACAGTTGTGGATGTCCCATCTCTGGAGGAGTTTGAGGCTGGGCTGGATGGGGCCCTGGGCAGCCTGAGCTGGTGGGGGCAATCCTGCCCATGGCAGAGGAGCTGGAGCTATATGATCTCTAAAATCCCTTCCAACCTAAGCCATTCTATGATTCTATAGCTCTGTGCTAAAAAAAAATTGCAATGAAAATATTTTCATCTTTCTCCGTATTTCTTTTGGCCTGGTTCAGTACGAGAGTGTCTGAGTTGGCTGTGGAAATGGCTGCCTGGGTCAGCCCTGCCCTGCCTGCTGAGGACAGCCGAGATGGACACCTGCCTTGTTCTGTGTAGGCATGTGTTGTTTGTTGTTGTCTCCTGCCTCTGTTGTACATAGTGTGTAACAGGGCTGCATGCTTCAGGTCTGAGGCTTCTCATGTAAAATATACTCCAAATATACTCACTACTGTCAAGTTTCATAGTTTGTGCTGAACTTTTTGGCTTTGGCTGAGCACGTACAAAAATCTCAGCAGGCTCTCAGTGGAGTACCTAATGGAATTCAATGGATTTGAAGAATAAGCAAGAAAAATGTAAATATCCAGGTTTCTGGAATTTCCTGGAAGATACAGTACCAGTTTTCTTCAGCAATTATTTCCCTTTCCCTTTCCTTTTTTGCCATTCTTTCTCCTATAGTGACATATCAGTCTCAGGTATTTTCTCCAAAGTCCGTGGGACCATTACTTATATGGGACACTGTGGGTATCAGTGGGCTCTAGTGTGGTGCTTAAAAGAGCTGTGATCTTGAAGCAATATAGGCATTAAAATTTCCATGCTCAGTTTAAAAGAGATCATCTTTGTGGCTCTTATGAAAACTTTTCCTGCTCTAATTTCTGTGGTAGTGTTGCTGGTTTGTGTTCAAGCAAATACTGGGGGAAAGCAGCAGACATATGGGTGCCCCAGCTGCCGGAGCCGGCTATGGGATGCAGTGTGCCTGGTAGCGCTGCTCTGCTGACTTGGACTGGCAGGCTTAGCTGTGGGTGCCCTGTGCCATCTGTGTGTGGGCTCACTGCGGTGTTTGTGGCAGAGCACCACGGTGGTCGCAGGCAGGGCTGCCTGATATTTGTCTTAGTGTGTGTGGAGATGTCCTTGGTTGAAATAAAGCTGAAACTCTTTTGAAATCTTTATTTAAAATCACTTTCAAATGTACCCTCCATGCCTGCTTTGGGATGTGGGGGTTGCAGATGGGATTTTGGAACTGCTGGCCACAGTGCTGCTCCTGTGAGGGCTCAGAAGTGTTTTTTGAAAACAACCGAGGTCTTAGCAGAGTTCCACTGGCCTGTCTGTGAGATGACTGGTATTTGCTTTGAAACCTAAATTTTCCTGGAAGCTTGATGCCAGACATTGTTTCTAGATAATAAATCCCGGGAGGTGCATAGTTTCCGAGTTCAGGCCGTCCGTAAGCCCTGTTTATAAGTCTCTCTGCTTCTCTTAGCACATGTGGGCAGAGGATCACTGTGTCCAAGTACATTTTCTGCAGGAGCCAGAGACACAGCAGTGCTGTAACCCTGGCCATCCCTGTGCAGAGCTGTGCCAAGCCCTCACTGTGGGGATGGCTTTTGCTCTTGTTCTGTGCATGGCACTGCTGGTGGGCTCAGAGCAGTGGCACTGCCTGCTCCCATTCTATACTGTGCTGCTGCTTGTTTCAGATGCTTTACTTGGGTGAGTGGTTGCCTCTGGCTGATCAGTCGCTTGCTTCCTGCCCCATACCACTGGGAGGGGCAGCCAGAGAAACTCCTTGTCCCTACGCTCCCACACCATCCAGCAGCTGCTGAGGCTGAGTGGGGTTTGGTGGGTCGTCTTCATCTGTGTGTGCAAACAGCCTGGTGGGGATTCTCCCTGCTCACCTGGAAATTTGATCCTCTAACCAAAGCCTGCAGTTTTGGGCTGTTTCTGGGTAGAGATTTAATAGCACTTGGCTGCAGTATATTCTCATGCTATTGGAATTTATTTATTTCATTAAGCATAGTTCCGAATGTTTTCTAATGCACTGTGAAATACAGTGAGAAGTGGTTGCAGGTAGCTGGGTGTGACAAAGTGAGTTGAATGATGCAAGGCAGGATGCTTCAGGCCCTTCTTTGCTGGGGCATGTTTGACTCCTTGCACTCAAATGCTTAGTTTGGTCATTCTGTAACATGTGCAGCTCTTGCAAAGTCGTGGGGAAATATGTTTCTGTGGAATTGCTTTCTGACCATTTTTGAGTTTCTGATGTTATTTAACTCGATATCATTTGGACATAGTGATAAAAACTCAGCTATTGATCAAAGTCGGTGTAAAAATGGGTGCTGGAGTCTTGCTGCATGCTCTCTGCCCCCTGTGAATGCTGCCTTCCCAGGCGGTATTG